ACCACGTCTGATCTCGGTAGCCAGCTCAGTGAGCCTGGGGGCAGGGCTGGCACAGCATGTGGTGCTGGGTATTGAACCCTGGTCCCTGCACTTGCCTAAGCAGGTGCTTAGTCTGCTGAGCTATCTCACTGGTCCTTCAGTTACTTATTTCTGTGTTGCTGGGGATTTGACCCCAGCATCTCCCTCATGCTGGAGAAGCCTCTTTTATTATTATTTCTTATTTTAGTACAGAGTCTTGCTTAATAGTTCCCCAGGCTTGCTTGCGCCTTGTGATTGTCCTCAGCTTCCTGCATAGCTGGGACTGCCAGTAGTGTCAGAATGCCCAGCCCCCAGCCAGGGTTCATAACAGGAAACATCCACATCCAGATGATGAGCTAGTCACTGTGTTAGTCTCTTTAGCCCACCAGAACAACATAGCACAGGGTGAGCACCTCACATGTCTGGACACTGCCAATCCAAGATCAAGGTATCCCGGGGTTGGTTTCTTCTGTGCATTTCCTTGACATGGAGCTGACCATCTTTTCTGTCTTCACAAGGTCAGCCAGTGTATATAAGGACAATTACAAGGATTGGATTAGAGCCCATCCTAATGATTTTACTTTAACTTAATTACTTCTATAAAGAACCTATCTCCTGCTGGGCACTGTGATACATACTTGGGAGGCTGAGGCAGGAGGATCACTGAGTTTGAGGCCAGCCTGGACTACCTAGTGAGTTCAAAGGCAGCCTGAACTGCATAGCAAAGCCTTGTTTCAACCCCACCGCTTGCTCCCCAGAAGAGTCACATTCTGACATACTCAGCATTAGGGCTTCAACATATGCATGTGGGGGGGCACTTCGGCCCATTAATAGTAGTCACCTTAGGCACCCTGACCAGTTTATTCAGACCACCAGACTGTTAGGAACAATTAAGATTCTGTTGGCTCCAGAGATAGCTTCTGGGAAACTCTTCACTACTGGCCAATAAATTCCCAGAATGGAAGATGGAACACAGACCAAGAAAAATGATCTACAGGTAAAACAGAAAAAAGAAGGCTTTCTGGCCATGTGGGCCTGGCTGTTATAACAGGTGTTCCCCAAGA